GAACAAATTATACATACAACTAGCTCAAGGAACATAATATGTGTCTAGTAAAGGTTATCTGAGAACCTTTGGTTATTGCCCAAGCTTTATCTACATAGCGCATGGTAGTTAAAAGTACCAGACTGGTGGAACTAACTTGGATGTTTAACAGCCATACTTTGAGGCCTATTCTAATCTGGTCAGAGGGACTTAAAGGACAGTTTTCACTACTTGCCCTCCAAGGTCGACTTAAGTTCCAGGGGACTATAAAGCATATCTCAAAATGTCCTGTAACTGTGGTGCGTCACCTGTCCTCTTGATCAAGGAGGCCGTGGAGACCCCACCAGATGGACTTGAACCAGTGTCCAGTCTACAAAGAGGAGGATCAACAGAGAGGAAAATAAAGCCAGGCGCTTTGACTTATGTTCACATAGATGGCACTGGTAAAAGAAAGGATCCAGTGGCTCCTCCCAAGCCCACGTGACCCCTGAGGAACAAATCCTCAAACAACTTTAAGAGTAAAAATAAATTAGTTAATCTGGGTCAACTACATGATCTTAAACACCCAAAAGGAAAGTATAAGGAAAGATTAAAGTGATCAGTATATTTCTTTAAGAGTCCACGTGTATAGCTAAAGGCTACATAACAAGAAACAATTCTAGACAGGAGATACCTTCCTTTGAGTTGTTGGCCAGGGTGGCCCAAGGGACTCCCAGATAGTAACCCAGCATAGAATTGGGAAAATGAACAGCAGACCCCAATCTTACCTAAAGGAATGTTGGCAACTGATTGCTGCTAGATGAGGACAAGCTGATCTTCCTAAAACAAGGAACTCTAGATAGGCTGACTAGATTCAGCAGATGGACTTGCACTGGGAAACGGCTGGTGGCACTGACAACACAGTGGACAGTAACAAGGATGACAGAGTGTATGGGCTCCAGTGTTGGGAGGGTGCTATGGAAGGGTTTGGGATGCAGGTATAAAGATGAATAAGATTGTTTGGGATGTTCTGTATGAAATACAAAAAAAGAAAAAAAATCAATTAAAAATGAGTTAAAAAATAATCTACACACAACACATTTTAAAAAAGAGAGAGACAACATCATACTCCATGCTGAAACATGGATTTTCCTTAAGGATATTCACTTTTACCACTGCTATTTAGCATTGTACTGAAAGTTTCAGCCAGAGAAATTACAGAGCTCTTTGAAAAGCCGTCTGTGATAGTTAATCTTGGTTGTCACTTGACTGGATCTGGACTCAGTAGATAAGCACATTGGGCACATCTCTAAAGGGCTCTCTTGGTCAGGTTATTTGAAGTGGGAAGATCAAGCCTAAATATGGTTGGCACATTCCAATGGCAGCCAGATCACATGAGGTCCAAGAGAAAAACCTTGCCTTTTGCCTCTTTGCCTTCGCATCCCTCTGGAGAGCTCATTTATGCTGTAAGTTTACCTTATCCTGTTTGAAAGTTCATGGATCCTGTTGCTGCTGTCACGGCTCCAGCAACAGACATCAGAACCCAGCTTCTTCAGGCTTCCAACACGGACTGAAGACCAGTGACTCTCCAAGAATCAGTCAGGCCTTCAGCACTGGGTTGAGACTACTGAAGCATGCAGCCACATGTACTGAGCACCTACTGAGTTCTCAGCCTCTCCAGTGTGAAGACTACCACTGTTCACTACCCAGCCCACACCATGTAAGCCAATCTAATAAATCCCTTTTAATATTTCATTCTATTAGTTCTGTTCCTCTAGAGAAGCCTGGCCAACACAGCATCTAAATTGGAGAAAAAGTAAACTATCTGCACTAACAGCATGATCCCACAAAATCCTGACAAGAAAGCTAACAAGAGCTAATAAAAAACAAAAAACAAAAAGTTCAACAAAGTTACAGAGATCAACACAGAAATACCAACTGTTCTATACACTGAAATGAACAGTCTTAAAGAAAGCAATTTCATTTACAACAGCATTTAAAATATAAACTACATCTAGAAATAAATTTAACCAAGAAAGTAAAAAATCTTCTGATTTCTACAAAATCAACACGCAAAAGAATGAAATTGGACCACTTGGCTCACATCAGTTTCAAAAATTAAAGTATACCAGCAACTCAAATATAAGAGCTAAAATCCGAAAGTCAAAAACCTCTTAGAGGAAAATCTCCATAACACTGGATATGGTAATAATTTTTTTTTTTTTTTTTTTTTGAGAAAGGGTCTCCTGTAGCCCCCGCTGGCCTGGAATTCACTATGTAGACCAGGCTGGCCTTGAACTCACAGAGCTCCGCCTGCCTCTGGGATTAAAGGCATGCACCACCACGCCCAGCAATAAATTCTCAGATTTGACACAAGCAGCTAAAGAGAAATAAACTGAACTTCAGGTCAGGTGTAGTCCCACAGCTTTGATCCCAGTACAGGCAGAGGCAGGCAGATCTCTGTAAGTTCAAGGCCAACCTAGTCTACAAAGTGAGACCCTGTCTCAAAAATAAATAAATAATAATTAAAAAATAATAAGTGGAACTTCATCAAAATTTAAAACTTTGAGTAATCAACATTATCAAAAACTGAAAAGGCCCAGTATGGCAGAGCATGCTATAATCCCAGTACTTGGTACACAGAGACAGGAATCTTAACTCAAGGACAGTCTGCACTATATAGCAATACCCTGTCTCAACATTCCCCTCCCCCAGTAAAAAAAAAAAAAAAAAAAAAAAAAAAGAAAAGAAAAGAAAAGAAAACCACAATTTGTGTGTGGGAGGGGTCACACAGCTGAGTAATATTAGCCCCTGGTTTCTCACTAGCTTTGCTGTAGATGGCACCTCTGAACTGAGTCAGGATGGTAACTGTCTTTTTATTAAAAACTTTGATAAAAGTTTCATATTCAAATGACTATCTCCACAACTGAAAAAATATTTTAACCCAATTATAAAAAATGGACAAAGAGGGGCTGGAACAATGGCTCAGCAGTTAAGAACACTGGTTGTTCTTGCAGAAGACCTGGGTTCAAATCCCAGCACCCACATGGCAGCTAACGACTCTCAGTAACTCCACTCCCAGGGGATCCAACAGCCTCTTCTGACCTCCGCAGGCTTTGCATGACACAGGTGCACTTACCTACATGCAGGTAATACACGCATACACATAAAATAAAAAAAATAAAAAATTTGTTTAAGTTTTAAAAAAATGGGCAAAGAGTAGCCATTAAACATATGAAAAGATGCTCAGCAACATTAGTCATTAAAGAAATACAAATTGAAACAATAAGAACCACTACACATGATCCCAAGGAATCAAAAGGTGGGGTAGAAAGTTTTTGACAAAGATGTGGAGAAACTGGAACATTTGCACATCACCCCATGGGAAAGCTCAGCAGTTACTTAAGAAGCTGAACAAAAGTTTATCATATGATCCAAGAAGTATATTTATTTATATATATATATATATATATATATATATATATATGAGAATATATACATATATAAATTTTGGAAAACAGGGGCACAAACAGATACACATCAATGTTCACAGCAGCAGTATTCACTATAACCAAAGAGAGGAAGAAACTGGACAAGCAAAATATATACAGATTATTATTCACCCTTAAAATAAGAATTAAGTTCTGATATAAACCACAACATGGATGAACCTTGAAAACATAAGTTATAGCTGCCAGATACAAAAGGACAAATATTTGTTATTGTATTTGCATGAAATATCTGAAATGGGAAAATTCATAAGAGAAAAGTTTATTACAGGCTACTGGAACTTGGGAAAGGAGACAGCAGAATTAATACTTAATGGTCCCTGAGTTTCTGCTTAGGATGGTGAAAAGATTTTGGAACTAGGGCCAGGGTGTAGCTCAGTACTAGACTAGGTATCTAGCAAAAGCAATTCCCGCACTGAAGAAAAGCAGTAGTTTTGGAAATCGGAAATAGTTTGCACAAGATGTCGGGTGAAATTAATATCCCTATTTTGTTATACATTTTTATTATAATTTTTAAGGGCTAATTCAGATAAAGTTGTTTCCCTGACAACTCTCCAACAGTTTCTCATCTCCTCAGAGTGACACACCAAATTTCCAGAAGAGTCTTACACAATCTCTCCTTAGCGCTTCCCTGTCTGATCTTCACTAACTGGCCTCCTACTCTGCTCCTTGACTAACAGGCTCGCTTGTGGACTTCGACTTCGCACTTTCTTTTCTTTCAGATAGCCACAAGGTGACCTCTTCCTACAGTTCTCAACTCAAACTTCTCGGTGAGAGGAGGGGAAGGTACTAGTATTCAATGCCAGGAAGTTCTGAACTGCCCCATCCATGCCACACTTGAACCCCATTTGTATAGTCTGTAATACAAGGTCAGTGGGAATTCATTCCTGTAATCCCAGCAGAAGCAGGTTTGTCTCCAGTTCCAGGCCAGCCTGGCTACAAGTGTAAGGCCAGCCTGGCTATTTAGTGTGAACCCTGTCTCAAAAAAAACAAGGGTCTCGACAAAACCAAGGGGACTAAAAAAAGCCTAAATTACTACGATTTGGGGACTCCTGAATTAGCATCCTAAAGATGTTTTTGCCCTCTTCAGCGTTTTGCACATCACGACTGTAAGAGCAAGCCAGATGCAACAAGAAAAAGAGCCAATCGTGCAATGGTTTGAACTCTGGAGATTTGACAAAATCTGCACAATCATGGAAGGCGGGTTGTTTTCCCAAGGCTTAGTTTTGTGGGCAACAGGCCGCAGACGAAGGCCAAACCTTGGGGTGCCCCAGGCAGCAGCCTAGCCAGCTGAGGGCGGAAGGGGCGGGGAAGTCCGCTGCGGGCGGAAGCCGGGAGGAAGCCGGGGGCACTGAGGGCCTCTTCCCAGTGCAGAGAGGAGGAGGAAGGCTTCGACTCTAGGATTTCCCCAGCACAGCGCCGGGGTCTGTCCCACCGGCCTGAGCAACCCCAGGGGCCCGACGTATGTAGAAGGCTAAGAAGGCTATACCCAGGGTACAGAGAGGGGCAGCAGGAGACGGGAGGACACGTTACCCCGAAAAGAGCCAGATCAACGGGTCTTCTTCAGCGGGATGACGTGTGGCCGGCCACAGCACCAAAGCCTGCAACCCAGGTTTTCACACCAGGCATCATAGCTGCTCCTTTATTCCCGCGCAGCAGAGGACTCGGCGGGACCACACCGGGCAGTCTCCCTACGCTTCAGCTTGGGGGACCGCCCTAGGCCACTTCGCGCCCGCGGCCCCGCCCCAAACTTCTCCGGCCGCCGTGTCCCTCCCACCAGCCATCCTGGCCGGCCCGCACAGCTCGCATGCGCGAAAGCTGGCCGCCGCTTAGCGTTCTGGGAAATGTAGTCTCGGCGAGGTGCGAGTGAGCAGCCCGAGTCCTCCATCCCGGTGGAATCCCGGGAAGTCGGAGCGCTCCCGCCAGCCTGTCATTCCCATCCACGCACCTCGCCAGCCAGCTCGCACGCACCGCCCTTCCTCGCTCGTTTGCTCCTGTCAGGGCGCGCCCTCGGGGAGAGCCTGAGACCCCTCTTCCCTCTTGCGAGCGGCTGGGGAGGCGGGGTCCGCAGCCCGCCCCGCGCCGGCAGCTCCCCGCCCCCTCCCCGTGGTGTCGGGCCGGGACCCGAATCCAGGCAGCGGCCGCAGGAGGCGCGGCGGCGGCGGCGGCGGC